TAGTAGAGACGGGGGTCTCACTCTTGCTGAGGCTGGTTTCGAACTCCTAACCTCAAGCAATCTGCCCTCCTCGGCCTCCCAGAGTGCTAGGATTACAGGCGTGAGCCACTGCGCCAGGCCCTTTTCACTTTCTTGATAGTTTCCTTTGAAACACAAAAGTTTTTAATTTTGATAAAGTCTCCACTTCTTTGGACGCTTCTGCTTTTAGGATCATATCTATAAAACCTACATCTTGTACAAGGTCATGAAGATTTATACCTGTATTTTGTTCTAACAGTTTTATAATTTTAGCTGTTACATTGGGTCTATGCTCAATTTTGATTTAATATTTGCATATGGTATGTGGTAGAAGTCCAACCTCATTCTTTTGTTTTTTGATATTCAATTGTCCTAAGCATCATTTGTTGAAAAAATTATTCTTTCCCCACTGAAGCATCTTGAACCCTTTTCAAAAAAATCAATTGACCAGCCAGGCATGGTGCCATGCACCTGTAGTTCCAGCTATAAAAATCCTCAACAGGCCAGGCGCGGTGGCTCACGCCTATAATCCTAGCACTCTGGGAGGCCGAGATGGGCAGATCGCTGGAGGTCAGGAGTTCGAAACCAGCCTGAGCAAGAGTGACACCCCATCTCTACTATAAATAGAAAAAAATTAATTGGCCAACTAATATATATAGGAAAAATTAGCCAGGCATGGTGGCACATGCCTGTAGTCCCAGCTACTTGGGAGGCTGAGCCATGAGGATGCTTGATAGCCCAGAGTTGATGGCTGTGAGCTAGGCTGCAGCCACGGCACTCACTCTAGCCTGGGCAACAAAGCGAGACTCTGTCTCAAAAAAAAAAAAAAAAAAAAATCCTCAACAAAATACTAGCAAACCAGGTCGGGTACAGTGGCTCACGCCAATAATCCTAGCATTCTGGGAGGCCGAGGCAAGAGAATGGCTTGAGGCCAGGAGTTCAAGATCAGCCTGAGCAAGAGCAAAATCTCTACAAAAAATAGAAAAATTAGAAGGGCATGGTCGCACATATCTATAAGTCCTTGCTGCTCAGGAGGATTAGGCAGGAATCACTTCAGCCCAGGAATTTGAGATTACAGTGAGCTATGATGATGCCACTGCACTCTAGCTTGGGCAAAAGAGCAAGACTCGGTCAGGCGCGGTGGCTCACACTTGTAATCCTAGCACTCTGGGAGGCCGAGGCAGGCGGATTGCTCGAGGTCAGGAGTTCAAAACCAGCTCTGAGCAAGAGTGAGACCCCGTCTCTACTATATAAATAGAAAGAAATTAATTGGCCAACTAAAAAAATATATAGAAAAAATTAGCCAGGTATGGTGTTGCATGCCTGTAGTCCCAGCTACTCAGGAGGCTGAGGCAGTAGGATTGCTTGAGCCCAAGAGTTTGAGGTTGCTGTGAGCTAGGCTGACGCTATGGCACTCACTGTAGCTTGGGCAACAAAGTGAGACTCCGTCTCAAAAAAAAAAAAAAAAAGAGCAAGACTCTGTCTCAAAAACAAAAAATCTAGCAAACCAAATGCAACACATTAAAAGATCACGCACCATAACCAAATGGGATTCTTCCCAGGGATACAAGGAGGTTTCAACATACACAAACCAATAAATATGATACATCACATTAACAGAATTGAAAACAAAAACCATATGATCAAGACAGGGCACAGTGGCTCATGCCTGTAATCTCAGCTTTGAGAGGCCCAGGTGGGAGGATTACTTGAGGCCAGGAGTTTGAGACCAGCCTGGGCAATATATCAAGACCCATCTCTACAAAAAATATTAAAATTATTGAGGCATGGTGGCATGTGCCTGTAGTCTCAGCTACTCAGGAGACTGAGGCAGAAGGATCACTTGGGCCCTGCAGTTCAAGGTTGCACTGATCATGCCACTGCACTCCAGCCTGAGCAACAGAGTGAGACCCTGCCTGTAAAAAAAAAAAAAAAAAATCATTTCAAGAGATGCTGAATAAGTAAGTATTCAACAAAATTCAATATCCCTTTATGATAAAAAAAAAACTCTCATCAAACTGAATATTAAAGGAACATACCTCAACACAATAAAGCCCATAAATGGCAAACCCATAGCTAACATCATACTGAACAGGGAAAAATTGAAAGCCTTTCCTCTCAAATCTGGAACAAAACAAGGATTTCCATTTTTACCACTTATATCCAGCATAGTACTGAAAGTCCTAATCAGAGGAATTAGGCAAGAGTAACAAATAAAGAACATCCAAATTACAAAAGAAGACACCAAATTATCCTTGTTCACAGATGACATACTTAGAAAAACCTAAAGACGCCACAAAAAAAATCCTGTTAGTATTGATAAACAAATTCAGTAAAGTTGCAGAATATAAAAATCAACATACAAAATCAGTAGCATTTATGTGTCAACAATGACCCATTTGAGAAAGAAATAAAGAAAGCAATCCCATTTACAACAGCTACAAAAATATAAAATACCTAGGAATAAATCTAACCAAAAAAGTGAAACATCTCTACAAAGAAAAACAATAAAACACTCATAAAAGAAACTGAAGAAGACACAAATAAATGGAACTGGAAGAATTAATATTGTTAAAATGTTAATACTACCCAAGCAATCTACATATTCAATGCAATCCCTATCAAAATACCAAGGACATTCTTCAGAGAAATAGAAAAAACAAGCCTAAAATTCAAATGAACCACACAAAAGACCCCCAAAATAGGCAAAGCACTCCTCAGCAATAAGAACAAAACTGGAGGCATCACACTATCTGAATTCAAAATATACTACAAACCACAGTAACCAAAATGGTATAGTACTGGTATAAAAATAGACATACAGATCAATGGAACAGAACCGAGAACCCAGAAATAAATGCACACACTTATAGCTGACTCATGTTCGACAAAAGTGTCAAGAATATTACACAAGGTAAAGTACAGTCTCTTCAATAAATGGTGCAAGGAAAACTTGACAACCATATGCAGAAGAATGAAACTAGGCCCCTATCTTTCACCACAAACAAAAATCAAATCAAAATGGATTAAAGACTTAAATATTAGTCTTAAAACTATAAAACTACTAGAAGAAAACATTAAGGAAATGCTTCAGAACACTGATCTGGGCAAAGGTTTGGGGGTGGGTAAAGACCTCAAAACACCAGCAACAAAAGCAAAAATAGACATATGCAATTGCACAAGCTAAAAAGCTCCTACACAGCAAAGGAAACAATCAAAAGTGAAAAAACCACCTACAGAATGAGAGAAAATATTTGCAAACAATCCAACAATGGATTAATAACAAAAATATATAAAAAACTCAAAAAAAAAAAACTCAATTCAATCATAAAATAATAATGTAATAAAAAATGAACAAAAGGTCTGAATAGACATTTCTCAAAATAAGACATATACATGGCAAACAGGTACGTGAAAAAAATACTCAACATTACTAATCATCAAGAAATGCAAATCAAAACCACAATGAGATATCATCTCACCCTGGTTAAAATGGTTTTTACTAACAAGACAAAATATAACAGATGCTGGTGAATATATGAGGAAAGAAGAATATTCATCCACTATTGATGGGAATATAAATTAGTACAGCCACTACTGAAAACAGTAGGGAGGTTCCCTAAAAACCTAAAAATAGAACTATCAAATGATCCAGCAATCCCACTACCGGGTATATAGTCAAAAGAAAGGAAATTAGTATACTGAAGAGATATCTGCACTCCTGTGTTTATTGAAGCATTATTCACAACAGCCAAGATATGGAATCAACCTAAGAGTCCATCGTTGGATGTGCATTAAAAATATGTGGTATATATACACAATGGATATTATTCAGCCACAAAAAAGAACAAAATTCTGTCATCTGCAGCAACATGGATGGAACTGGAGGTTATTACGTTAAGTAAAATACGCCCAGCAAAGAAAGATGAATACCCAATGTTCTCACTTATATGCAGGAAATAAAAAAGTGGATCTCATGAAGGTAGAGAGTTGACTGGTGTTTACCAGAAGCTGGAAAGGGAAGGGGAGGGGAGAAGACAGGATAAAGAGTGTTGGTTAATGGGTACAAAATTATAGTTAGATAGAAGGAATAAGACCTAATGTTCGCTAGTACAGTAGGGCTACTATAGCCAGTAATAATTTTTTCTATAGGTCAAAATTGCTACAGGAAAGGAATTGGAATGTTCCCACTATAAAGAAGGGGTAAATGTTTGGGGTGATGGATATCCCAAGTGCCTTGGTTTGATAGGTAAACATTGTATGCATATATCAAAATATCAGATGTATCCCCAAAATATGTACAACTATTGTGTATCAATAAAAAAAGAGAGAGAGATGACCCTGGAGATACAGGCCACAAGAGTTTTAACATAACCCTTCTCAGTCAGGGTAGATTGATATGGTCCATTATGAACAAAGAACTTTTTTTTTTTTTTTTTTAAGAGAGAGGCTGGCCAGGCATGGTGGCTAACACCTATAATACTAGCCACTTTGGGAGGTCAAAGCAGGAGGATCACTTGAAGCCGGAATTTGAGGTTGCAGTGGGCTATGATCAGCTCACTGCACTCTAGCCCAAGCAACAGAGTGAGACCCTGTCTCAAAAAAAAAAAAAAAAAAGAGAGAGAGAGGCAGACGAAGTAGACTCAAACTGCTGGGCTCAAGCAATTCTCCAACCTCAACCTCCAGATTGGCTGGGATTTACAGACGTGTGCCAGAGCCAGCAACACAGAACTTTTTAGCCACTTTAACCTAATACTGATATAATGTATTCTACTCCAGAAGGAAAAATGAATAGCACACAAAACATTGTGTAACAAATCTAGTCATACAAATTCACATATACACACAACATACAAACACAAAATTTTTATCTACCATCTAAGAGCTAGCTTTAATAAGTCTTTGGTTTCTTTTGTTTTCTTTAGAGTTCTCTATATAATAACTTCATTTGCCATCATCAAAAGTTGAGAAATATCACCAACCTATTGCCACTTGGATATTGTACTACAATATCATGATCTTCATCAATGCCACAAACAGTTCCAGTTGTAGTTAAAGTCTCAAACATTCCATCAGTCCATCCTCCATGACCATGCTGCAAAGACTGTACTATTTCTAGGTCAAGATCTATATTTACCAGGTCACCAATCTGCAATCCACCAGGATTCCTGTTGCCATTCTGCTCACCTGCAATTTCAGATACAGTTGAAAAAAGAAAAAGAAAAAAAAAAAAAAATCACAGCAACAACATGCAACTTCATTTTTAAAGAACTTCATATGAAAGAAAACTCTGGAATTATTTTTCTCTGAAGTGCTTAGTACTATATTTTTTAACAAATGGTTCTTGTGATTTTTGCCCTAAAAAGCATTTTTAAATATTTTAAAGCCTATTCCCTAAATTACTTCCAAAGCTAGTTGTGAGATAAAAGATTCACGATCATAAAAAACCATACCGAGAGAACCCAAATATGCATGTTGACTCTGCATTGTTCTTATGAAAGTAAGACACAAAATAAGAAAGTTTCTGGAAGCAAGAGAAATGGATGAATTCATCAAAAACACTGGTATTTTTGCTACATTCTCCTTTTTTAAAAAAAAAATTAAGGTATGCTGCAGCAAGCATTTTTTGCTAAAAAGGCAAGTCAAATGATTTGGAAAGGAACACACAGTTCACATGAGAAAGGAAAACATTCAGAGACTAAAGATTTGGTCAGGAGAGTGTAATAAATGTTCATCGTTATAATAGTAAATCCATAAAATGAAGGTACTTTTCGTTTCTAGTCCCCCTTTTTATTTTAGCCATATATGAAATCATATTTATTATATTACCTTAATCTTACAGCTACTCGTGCATTAAGAAGACAATGTTACAGAAATTCTAATGAATTTATAAGCACTAACTTGTCAAATTCTATTTAATAGTGTATGATATACAACATCGATGTAATCTAATGCAAAATTTTTCAATGATATATGTTTATGGTTAAAAGATAAAAGTTTTAAATATATATTATGACATAAAATGGCATATCAATTCTCCAGACATGACAACTCTTTGGAGTCTAAATAAGTTTTAGTAAAGGAACAAATGCTTTAAAACTAAAAAAGTGTTTCTCTAAATAACTTTAATGGTAATTAATTGTTTTTAAAGTCCAATTTAAACGTTTTATTGACTCCATGAACTCTGACCCATTATTTAGTAATTTTCTTTAATCTGCTAACTCACCTAGCACAGGGCAGTGATCTCTGTAGAAAGAACCTCCTTTGGCATCCTGGACACACTTCAGATCAGACTAAGAATAAAAGAAATCAGAAAAAAAATCACACATGAAAACTTCAAATGTGACTCAATACCTGAAACAGGAATAAATATTCATTCAGAACATACCCACAACAGAAGTCAAGAGTAGTTCTGGGTTAACAAACAAATTAAACATTGTTTTCAAAAGTACTTGTCAAAAACTAGAAACCTAATCCTCCATATATATAGATCATGCGTGATTTATTTTAGCTTTCTTTCAAAGCTCATAATTAAAATGCCTGAATCTTATTGGATGATAATATTTCTAATATTAATTACAATATTTTTAAAACCACATTTAAAAAGGACAACAAATATCTAGTAATTGAAATGTACACAGCACATTCAATTTGAAAGATACTTTTACCAAAAAACAAAAACACTGAAAATTGTCCAAAACTAAACAGCCAGTAGAAAAGGAACCAAATCCAGTTTTTTGATTCCTCGTCCAGTTAATTTTCCTATTCACATCAACTTTAGTTCTTACTTCATCATAACTTGGTTAATGAAAGTTCCTTCTCATTTATCTTTTATAAGAAAACAAATTATAAAGAACTTTGAATGCGGAAGTAGCTGTGGTATAATAAAACCTACAGAAAATGTGGACTTATAACAACCTTGGGTGTTACTGTGAAACTTGAGAATTAGATTTACTTAAGTAATTAAGTCCCTAATATGGCTGAGCACAGTGGCTCACACCTATAATCCTAGCATTTTGGAAGGCCAAGGGGGGAGGATAGTTTAAGGCCAGGAGTACGAGAGATTAATCTCAGTAAAACAGCAAGACCCTCATCTCTACAAAAAATTTAAAAAAATTAGTCAGGCGAAGTGATGAGTGCCTGTAGTCCAACCTACTTAGGAGGCTGAGGTGAGAGGATCACTTGAGCCCGGTAGTTTGAGGTTGCAGTGAACTATGATGACAACACTGCACTCTAGCCAGGGCAATAGAGCAAAATGCTATCTCTAAAAAAAAGTGCCTAATAGTACATAGCATTCAGGTGTCCTCAAACTACGGCCCATGGGCCCCATGTGGGTGCTTTTGCCCGTTTGTTTTTTTACTTCAAAATAAGATATGTGCAGTGTGCATAGGAATTTGTTCATAGTTTTTTTTAAACTACAGTCTGGCTCTCCAACGGTCTGAGGGACAGTGAACCGGCTCCCTGTTAAAAAAGTTTGAGGACTACTGGCATGTAGGTGATCAGTATTTCTTACTCTTTATTGAGAAAAGGAGCTCCTTTATGCATATGCATGCATGCACTCATACACACACATGCACACAGAATCCAACTTTTACAAGCCTCTTTTGCTGTCATTCAATCCTGGCCAAAGAGACATAGAGGTTGAATTCTTTTAAAGTAATACTTTAACCCAGAATCTATCCTAAGGAAATACAGCCATAATATGCAAAGAACATGGATGCTTCCTAACACACTGCTTACAGCAGTGGTGGAGGGAACAAAACCCAATCCAGATATCCATCAGCAAAAATCTCATTAAACAAATAATGGTATAACCACAGAAAGGAATACTACCTCAGCCATCAATCTGTATACACTATTCATTAAATACGTGATTACATATAGCACATAGCCTTCATCTGAAAGAAATTAATAGTCACTCAGAATCCTACAAAATTCAAGTTAAAAACAAGCAGAGGCATGAAGATAATAATGAAAAACTGATAACTGATACTACATATAATGATAAAAGTTGGCACATAATGTATTTGTTTAAATTCACATGGCTGGCTTTTATACATAAATGGAATAAATTAAGGGGACAGTGGGATATTTTCTCCCTTTCTAATGAGGGATACAAGATAGTTAAAAAAAATGAAATTGAAACAATTCTTTGAAAGGGGAATGTATTAAAGATGGAAGGGATATGAAAAGCATTAATATTTTGGTATTCATTATACTCTATAAATATCAAGATCAACGTCTAAATAAGTCCATAAAATGCAAAAACATGACAGACAATTCATTGAATCAGCCTCCACTATTTTTCTAAACATTTAAGTAACTCGAGGTATCTCTAGGTCAATCATTTTTAATTATCAACACTACACTTTAAAATTTACAGAAGAAAAACTCTCTCCTTAAAAATAATTTTAATACCTATAATTTATACTTTTATCAGCTACTAGAACACAGAATACAAATATACCATAAAACCTCATTATAATACCTCCAGGTCCATGCCAAGGAATGGTCTTACAGATGACTTTAAATCTGTTTTGATAGATTTAAGTAAATAAATTCCCCAGACTTACATTGGTAATGGATCAGCTCTACACAATCAACATATAGTAAGGTGCCCAAACATTAACTGAGGGCAAAATCATATTTACTATTATTTAGACAAACATAGTAAAAATGTAAAGGTCTCACAAATTTATTAAATTCTCACTTTACATATTTCCTTCTTGTTGCATATTCATAATTCAGATGGCTATATTCTAACAAAAGGAAACAGTAAAAGGTAAAAGAAATAAAAGAGCACAAGGGCTATTCATCCATCCAACATTTCATCTGTGTGGTTCTTCACTACTTACCATGCCCTCAAAGCCAACTCTGTAAAGGTTCTTAGCACCATTATCCCAGAGAACATATGCTGCACTGTGTGGGCTTGATGCACTCCAGTCCTGGATTTCTGTTACCTGACAGAAGTTTTGAAAAGAGAAGGAAAGTTCCTTCAATTAACTATTACTTTCAAATCTTAAAAATCATTTCACCTATCAACCTGTGTAACAGGATCATGAAAAATACTTATTTGCCAAATATATGTCACTTCTAACATATAATTAAATCATTAGAGTCATATTTTCCCAGAATTATAAGGTATTTTCCAAAACTATTATAGAAATTTTAAGTTTGGAGGTTATTAGATTACACTAATAAAATATCAGAAAGTAAATAATTTGATACAAAATTTAAAATCTTTGTATTCTTAAAGGGTTTAAGAAGAGCATATTTTTTAGACCATTACTCAATGTAAAATTGTAAATCTCTGACCAAATATCCAAAATGATTCAAGATAAAACTACTTTCTAGTCACCTAAAAATTGAGAAGCACAATGTTCTTCAAGAGCCTTGATGGCAATGCTCAAAGAGGACATGAGTTGCTTTTGTTCCTCCAGCAGGTCCCACATTTGTCCCCAAATAAGCAAGCCACCCAAGCTAAAACAGCATGCATACAATGGAAACTCAGCACAATCTCTAGGCCCCATATCCAACTACACTTATTCTTACATTCACTGGCTTGGAAAAAAAACACTCGGATTGCCATTGCTTAAGGGCCTAGAATTAACTGCAGGATGAGTATTCCTTATCCAAAATGCCCAGGACCAGAGTTTGGGATTTGTGACGTTTTCAGATGCTGGAATATTTGGATTATACCTAGAGCATCCTAAATCAAAAAATCTGAAATCTATTCTGCTTATTTCAGGCCTTGAAAAAAAAAAAAAAAAATCTGAAATCTAAAAGGCTTCACTAAGCATTTCCTTTGAGTGTGAGGTCAGTGCTCAAAAAGTTTCAGATTTTGGAGCACTTCAGATTTGAGATTTTCTGATTTGAGATGTTCAACCTGTACACAAAAATGACAAAACAGTGAGCACTAAACTTCGGTATTTTCAAGTAAACCACTCTATAGCTAAGAGGGGGAAACTGCACACATGCAATTCAGATTACTTTTCTCCATCTTGACACTTATCAGCCACCCTTCATAGTGACTTAGAATGACAGGCTGATGTTAAGTATAATTTTTAAGGCACAGGCTTAGAAACATACTATTACATTAAATAAAATATAAAACTAGGCTGGGCATTGTGACTCATGCCTGTAATCCCAGCACTTTGGGATTCAGGTAGAAAGGCTGAGGCTGAGGTAGAAAGATCACTTAAGCCCAGGAGTTTGACACCGGCCTAGGCAACATAGAAAGACCTCATCTCTACAAAAAATTTAAAAATTAGCTGGGTGTGGTGGCATGTGCTTGTTGTCCTAGCTACTCAGAGACTGAGGTGGGAGAATCACCTGAGCCCAGGAATTCAAGGCTGCAGTGAACTATGATCACGCCACCGTACTCCAGCATAGGCCACAGTGAGACCTTGCTTCTTTAAAAAAAAAAAAAAAATAGTGATATTTCTCTTTTATCCTGTCCTAAAGAAATAGTTTGTAAGCTAGGTATATTATGGTGCTTTTGTGGAAATAAAAGAGTTTTATATTTAAGATCTAACGTACCATTTGATAAATATTTTAAATTGTTAGTAAATGAGGCCATTTATTCTTCTAAATTTTGAACTAAACTATACTTTACAAAAATACAGCATATGTAAAAATTAAAGAATAAAAAAAGAAATAAAAAAAAATAAAATGAACACCCATATAACTGTTACCCAACCAAAGGAAAAACAATATTACCCATACTTTTCAGGTCCCCTATAGACGTCTCATCAATTCCATCCTCCTGCCTTCCAACAGAGGTAACCATCATCCTGAATTTGAAACCATCATTGCCTTGCTTTGCTTTATGATTTCTGCTCAATTAACCATTGTATAACCTTACAAAGAAATAGTTTCTAACACTAAAAAGGTAAAATATGGACAAGTGTGGTGGCTTAAGCCTGTAATCCTAGCACTTTGGGAACCTGAGGCAGGAGGACTGCTTGAGGCCAGAAGTTCAAGACCAGCCTGAGCAAGAGCAAGACCCCTTTCTCTACAAAAAAGAGAAAAATTAGCTTGGCATGGCAGCATGTGCCTTCTAGGTCCAGCTACTCGGGAGGCTGAGGCAGGAGGGTTGCTGGAGCCCAGGAGTTTGAGGTTGCAGTGAGCTGTGATGATACCAGTGTACTCTAGCCCAGGCAACAGAGTGAGACCCTGTCTCAAAAAAAAAAAAAAAAAAAGTTGATGATTGTTGAAGTTGAATGATAGCTACACAGGTATTTGTTATGCTATTCTTTCTACTCTGGTATATGTTTGAAATATTCCATAAAAAAAACTTTAAAAAAAAAAAAGAGGCCGGGCGCGGTGGCTCACGCCTGTAATCCTAGCACTATGGGAGGCCGAGGCGGGCAGATTGCTCGAGGTCAGGAGTTCGAAACCAGCCTGAGCAAGAGCAAGACCCCGTCTCTACTATAAATAGAAAGAAATTAATTGGCCAACTAATATATATAGAAAAAATTAGCCGGGCATGGTGGCACATGCCTGTAGTCCCAGCTACTCGGGAGGCTGAGGCAAGAGGATTGCTTGAGCCCAGGACTTTGAGGTTGCTGTGAGCTAGGCTGACGCCACGGCACTCACTCTAGCCTGGGCAACAAAGTGAGACTCTGTCTCAAAAAAAAAAAAAAAAAAAAAAAAAAAAGAAATATGATCTAGCCTACCTATATGAAACACTCAATTCAAATGTATTCAGGAGTACTTGTGAAATAAAAACAGCCTTAAAATGCTAACATTGGGTAGTAGTACTTAAGAAGCCCTCTAAGAATATACTACACCCAATTGATGTAGAATAGTAGAATAAAGCAGCCAGCATTGAATGGAAAGGGAGGATATTAATGTTCTTCATTCACATACACAGAAAAAAGTCAATCAGACAATAAAAATTACATTTGGTCCTAAACCTGCATTTCACAATGTCACCATAAATTAGATTTATTATATGAAGTTCCCTCACTCAGAGTCACATGTGCAAGATGGCTTCATTTATTTTTCCTCATTTTGTCCTTAAAATGCAAGATGTGTTAAGTCATAACAAACTAAAAATGTAATGCGAATGACTCAAAGCCTCAAGAATGCCTACACTTATGCCCCAAAAAGTGCCAATATAGCAAAAACCCAGAAAGTTCCATTTAAGTGGCTTCAAAGTTTAACAGTAACTGCCTCTAAAAGCTGATGAAAAAATAACTTGCAACCCTCTGACCATATAATTAATTGTGAAGAAGAATATAAAGTAATTTTTCAAAATGAAAGTATTTAAAACTTACTTTCCATGTACTCTTTCAAAAGAAGATACTAGAATATGTGCTCTACCAAAAGAGAAAGTTAAGTAAGATGACATTAACAGAATATAGGAAATAGGCCAGGCATGTTGGCTCAAGCCTGTAATCCTAGCACTTTGGGAGGCCAAGGTGGGAGGATCACTTGAGCTCAGGAGTTCAAGACCAGCCTCAGCAAGAGTGAGACCCGGTCTCTGCTAAAAATAGAAAGAAATTAGCCAGGCAACTAAAAATTAAAAAAAATAAAAAATTAGCTGGGCATAGTGGTGCACACCTGTAGTCCTAGCTACTTGGGAGGCTGAGGCAGGAGAATCGCTTGGAGCCTAGGAGTTTGAGGTTGCTGTGAGCTAGGCTGATGCCACAGTACTCCAGCCGGGCAACAGAGCAAGACTCCGTCTCAAAGAGAAAAAAAAAATGATACAGAAAACATGAGATCCAGCCAGGAAAGAGGCAAAGGCATCCATTGTAGGACATAAAGGGAGCTTTCAGGATGACTGCTGAGCACCAGGCATGGAGGGTGACCCATATAGATAGCAACCATTGATTCATGGACCAGACAAGTTGAAGACTCTTGTCACCAAAATCCCCACTGCCACTGTAACATTTTTACTGATCTGAGGACACATTGCCGAAGCAAGCCTAACTGACGTCCTTACTGTACTTGGCTTATTTGGACTATGTAATAAGGACACTCTCACTCTCCCCTCTGCCCTCCATTCCCTGCCACCTGGATCAGCTGAGGTCTCTTATCTCACCCTATAAAATATTCTGCTTTCACCTACTTATAAAACTCTTGAGCTCTTCACACTAACTGAGATAGGTAACAGAATAGGTGGCCACTGCCCCCTCAGAAACAGGCCTTTAAGGGAATGGAATATAAAACAAGTCAATTCTAATGAATTTTTTTTTTTTTCAAGACAGAGTCTCGTTTTGTTGCCCAGGCTAGAGAGAGTGCCATGGCGTCAGCCTAGCTCACAGCAACCTCAAACTCCTGGGTTCAAGCAATCCTTCTGCCTCAGCTTCCCGAGTAGCTGAGTCTACAGGCATGCGCCACCATGCCTGGCTAATTTTTTTTTTCTATATATATTAGTTGGCCAATTAATTTCTTTCTATTTATAGTAGAGACGGGGTCTCGCTCTTGCTCAGGCTGGTTTCAAACTCCTGACCTCGAGCAATCCACCCACCTCGGCCTCCCAGAGTGCTAGAATTACAGGCGTGAGCCACCACGCCCGGCCTCAGATGAACTTTTAATAGCAAGAAAGTCAAGAACATGAGATACTGCTTAGGGAGGAATGGTCCAAACAGAGTGTTCAGAAAGGCAATCTGGGCAAAAAAATGACAATATAAAAAAAGCCTGAGGGTAGAAAGGTAAAACCAACCTTCTCAAGGAACACCACTGCTTACAAAAGAGCAGAAACACTTTTTTCTTCCAGGAAAAAAAAAAAACAAAAATGTTTAAAACTGTCATTGGCATAGACAAAAATGGGCCAAGAAATTCATTTGTGGTACTAATAAAAAACTTCTGAACGTACAGTATTTTGGAACACATGATGAACTAAGAAAACCACTGTACCTTTCCCCTACGTCCATTTCCGCCATCCTGATCTTCCCACTGCCAGTCCACTCCTCGTACTACTCTGGCACCTGCAAAGATTCCTCTGGCTGTAATCTTCTTAGATTTTCTACGAGACTCTAACAGAACCCTAAAAATATAAAATTATTTATTTTCAAATTTATATAAAAATGGGTAACTAATTTATTTTTTAAAACAAAATTATAAAAAGGTTATTTTGAAAGTAGAAGAGATCCTTCATTGTTCTGGTTATTATCATAATATTAGTAGCATGATACAGAAATACCTTGTACATTCCACAGGTGATGATGACAACAGTAGGAGTTGTATCAATAACAGAAGCACTAATATTTATAGAGCTTTTACTATATGTAAAAGCACTTACACCAGTGTAAAGTATTATGCTTAAGAGAAAGGTACTGATGTTACCCATTTTACAAATAAGGAAACTGAGTCTCACAGAAGTAATTTGCCCAAAGTCACAAAGTTAAAAAGTAATAGAATCAATAGTCAACCCAGTCTAAGCATTTCAGGGTATCACTATACTTTTTACTATTTTAGAGGTGGCAAACTCAAATCCCTAAAGCTGGTAGGCAAGTAATATAAATGAAGGCCTAAGAAAAATAGCACTACAATGACAAATGGCAGATGGCATTTGACACCTCAGACTGTGGAAGACAACAGGAGGTGATAAGAACTTAGATCAATTCAAGAGCATGATCTGTTTTAAAGGGTGTAGGTGTTTACTCCTCTTCTTCAGACAACTGTTGCCAAGAACAAATGTAGGCCAGGCATGGGGGCTCAAACCTGTAATCCTAAGCACTCGGGAGGCCGAGGTGGGAGGACTGCTTGAGGTCACAGTTCAAGACCAGCCTGACCAAGAATAAGACCCCACTCTACAAAAAAACAGAAAAATTAGCTGGGTATAGTGGCTTATGCCTGTAGTCCCAGCTACTGGGGAGGCTGAGGCAGAAAGATCACTTAAGCCCAGGAGTTTGAGGTTGCAGTGAGCTATGATGACACCACTGCACTCCAGCCAGGGGCAACAGAGAGACCTTGTCTCAAAAAAAAATGTAAGTCCAGTGTTAAGTGCTTCTGGCAGGAGTTTAAAAATCCATAAACTTAGACTTTTGTGTGAAATCACCCGATTTTAAAAGGTTAGCAATTATTCAAAAATTTAGAGTAATCTGTATGCCAGTAAAATATATCTGTGGCCAGGATATGACCTATACACTGAACTGTCTCCAAAATATTGCATACTGACTGAAGATTATGAATCTTGAAAAAGATTCCACACTCAACTAGCTGGGCCAGCTTGGTTCTCCAAGGCCATCTATCACTTACTCTTCTGTATCTTTTTCATTCATACAATCAAAAAAGTTGAGGGGTTTTATTTTTCTAATTTTATCTCATTGTTCATCTATTCATTTCCAGAATGTCTTTATTCCCTAACTTTAAATATAAGCAAAAGACAAAATAAATAACTTGTTCAAAACTACTCAGTTAATAAATGGCAGGACCATGATTTACACCAATACAGTCTAACTCTAAAATCTATTTATCTATTAATACTACTCCTCCTAGCTGTCTCCCTAAGACTGGCTGGATTCTTGCTCCTATGTATTATCCATTTCTACAAGAGAAGATTCCATCAGCTAAAACTCTTTACCCATTAACAATGAATACTCTCTCATTGCTCCTAAGACACTTAATATATATCTCTACCATAGTCCAAAATATCACATGATAATCATTGACCCAGTATTTCCTTTAACTTTTAAACACCTTAAGACTATTATGGGGGGAGTGAGGGGGAAAAGGAATCCTATGTGTTTTATTTATTATGAAATGTCCACAAACATAGTAGCTGCCATGTAGTCTTAATAAATGCCTATTGATTCAATCAACAGGCTCTAGTGTTCATCTGGTAGCAATTAACAGAATAGCAAGCCTAATGAGAAGAAAATAATTGGGCTGCCCTTGCATTTCCAAACATAGAGTAGTGCTAAGTGCCCGAGCTAGAGAAAGAATCCAAGATCACCTTGGAAAAAATACATACAGTTCCACCTTCACAGAGCTACTCTCTCATTTTATAGCACGCTTGGTCTACCGTGTTTCCCCGAAAATAAGACAAGATCTTATATTTATTTTTGCTCAAGAAGACACCCTAGGGCTTATTTTCAGGGAATGTGTTATTGTTTTTAAGTACGGTACAACAATCTACATTTATTCGAATATAGTAAAGTCATCTTCTTCTGGAACATCATCATAACTTTCCAAACCCCGAATTCCATCCTGAATTTCTTGCGACTCTATTTCCTTTAGAACCATTGGCCCCAATCTCTCATGTCGAGCAATAGAGCTTTCATGGGGCAGATGAGAAGGGCTGCTCGTCTTCTTTACCGCTCCACGACGAAATGCATGGGTTGTGCAGATACACTGCGTATCTTATTTTTGGGGTAGGGCTTATATTGAGCAAATGCTTAGAAATCCTGTTAGGGCTTATTTTATGGGCAGGTCTTATTTTCAGGGAAACACAGTACTTCTAGTCTGCTATCTGCTACTTTCTGATAATAAACTAACTGTCAAAAGCTATTTGTGCATCCTATTTTTAAGGCTCAATAGTATAAATCAAATAAAAACAAGGAATCACAGCTGAAGAAAAACATTATTTCCCTTACCGCTCACTTCCTGGTGTGGTAATTCTGTAAAAGCGATGTCTTAAATGATGTTTATCTCCATGATAACACACTGTGCACAAATCATAATTTGTACACTCTGCACATTTCCATCGAATGCCAATGATTGGTTGCTGGCGGCAGGTATCACACATGGTTCCATCATGCTTGATGCCTATTAAAATAAAGATACATACTTACATTAATTACAAATATAATTTATTTAAATATTATTCTCTATGGGAGAAATAAGAACAGTGCATTTTACAGAGTATTTAAATAAATTGGGAAGAAATAACATTTCAAATATACCACATACAGCTTCAAGATAATAGATCTCAAATATTTTAATCAGTACAAATTATAAACTAAACATTTTATCTCTCCTCCCTTTTTCATAAGTAAGAATGTAACTCAGAGTAGCTCTTTCTTTGCTCTCATCCACAAACCGAAACTTAGGTTCAATGCAGAGAAAGAAGATTCCTTTACCACCAAGTAGATGTTTCAAATTACACAACCTCAGAAATCTTTGGAAGAATTTTAACCTATTATCTAGTTAAACAATTCCTCCAAAACAAAAGACAATTATATCCTCATGATACCAAGGAAACAAACTATCAATTAACCTAAGAATTTACTCCTAGGTATCGATAATTTTTTTCCCATTAACAATAAACTTTAGAAAATAATTGGCAAGAAAGTTTCCCTATTTAAAGGAAAATAAGGCCGGGCGCAGTGGCTCACGCCTGTAATCCTAGCACTCTGGGAGGCTGAGGCGGGCAGATTGCTCGAGGTCAGGAGTTCGAAACCAGCCTGAGCAAGAGCGAGACCCCATCTCTACTATAAATAGAAAGAAATTAATTCGCCAACTAATATATATAGAAAAAATTAGCTGGGCATGGTGGCTACATGCCTGTAGTCCCAGTTACTCGGGAGGCTTAGGCAGAAGGATGTTTTGAGCCCAGGAGTTTGAGGTTGCTGTGAGCTAGTCTGACGCCACGGCACTCACTCTAGCCTTGGCAACAAAGTGAGACTCTGTCTCAAAAAAAAAAAAAGGAAAATAATACACTGTGGTGGGGTTTTTCCCCCTTAAGGAACAAAAAGTAATAAACTCTAGGGGAAAAAAACAAGCACTTGGCAAAATTACTTCCACTAAAAATAACCACACATATGGCCGGGCGCAGTGGCTCACGCCTGTAATCCTAGCTCTCTGGGAGGCCGAGGCGGGCGGATTGCTCAAGGTCAGGAGTTCAAAACCAGCCTGAGAAAGAGCGAGACCCCGAGAAAGAAATTAATTGGCCAACTGATATATATATAAAAAATTAGCCGGGCATGGTGGCACATGCCTGCAGTCCCAGCTACTCGGGAGGCTGAGGCAGAAGGATCGCTTGAGCCCAGGAGTTTGAGGTTGCTGTGAGCTAGGGTGACGCTGTCTCAAAAAAAAAAAATAAATAAAAATAACCACACATATGGATGAGACAGACAGACATTAGAACTATAAGGTACCACTATAAAGTAATGAAAATTACTACTTTCATTTTAGGGTAATAGAACTGGGGGTAATGTTCTTTACTATCCTATAATATTATCACTTGTTCAATAGACTAAAACTAGGATTTTTTTCTCGAAACTGTGTGGCTTGTGTTGCAGCTCAATATCGAACAAGCAAGGGCTACAAGTACATCAGTGACTCTCTCCCAAATTCAAGTTCTGACTCTGTCAACAGCTATTTTTGTGCGTTTGTAAAGGTCATTTTTACTAAAGTATTTACATACAAAATAATGGTATTTATTTCAAAATAATGGGGCGGGGGGGCAGCAGAGAAGTAAGGTGGAATTTAGATAAAATAAGATTAGTTGAAGTTGGGTAATGGGTACATGGGAGTTCATTACATTATTCTCTATGTTAAGTTTAGAAATTTTCCATAATTAAATAGAAGAAAGGAGCCCTTTTTCTCAGAACTTCAGTCCCCTTTGGAGAAGGTAATATAATCTTTAAAGGTGAGACAATATGTTCTAAAAATCAAATAAGAATGTGCTGGATATGCAAAAACTAGAGTACAATAGTAGTAATATTACTAAATTGTATAAGAAGTAACACACTATTGCTATTTCCATATACAAAGGGGGAGAAAAACATATTAATTTTCTGTATCAAAGTAACAAGATTTAAAACAAAGGGCCAGACTTGAGTATAAGCTTGTGTTTGAGCTGAGAAGGTTATGGAAAAGGGTAGAGGGGGAAGGGAGGGGCAGAAGGAAAGGGAGAATCAAGGAAAGAGAAGGAAAGAAACAAATACTAGAAGGAAGTTGGGATGCCTAGTGGACCACAAAAGAACATGGCACCCAACATCAAATATGTTTGATATGCAATCCTCCCGCAGTCTCGCACCACACAAATGCTTGACGGTGAGGACAGAAAGATAGCGGACATGAATGTCTACTGATTAATTCAGAAATATTTCTTTACTTCTATTGTGGACAGGCCCTCTGCTGCTTTCAAATATCATTCTTGCTGCAGAATGGAAAACAGACAGGAAAAACGCAAAAGTTGCGAGAAAAAGGGAGTCAAGTTTCAAGAAGTTCATAGAAATCCAGGTTAAGATCATGATAGTTTAGGGTGTGACAAAAGTGAAGAGAGTCAAGAAATATTTAGGACTTGGTAGCTGTGAGTTAGAAGACAAAAGAGGTAGAAGGGATAAGAAAGTATAAATCATATTATTCAAAACAGTATTGGAAATATTTAGCAACTACACAGAACAATAAGCTGAAATCTAGAACTGCTCTGCTTAAAAAACAAGGAGCGCCACCAACAAAAAGTAAATAAGAACTTGCTAATTAAAAAATACAAGCCTAGGTCTCCATTGATACAAACTCACCTAGAAAACTAACTCAGAAAAAGAAGTGGGAAAAGTTTCACAGAAACCAAGTAGACCTTTCAGAGAAAGGAAGAAATGGCAGAAGAGTACAGAGTGTGTGTTCAATGAACCAGGAGCAGCTTTGTTCAGTAGGAACATGAAATACAGTCAGAGACTTCAAGATAAATTACAGAGTTGAGTTAGGAACTGGCAAGATCAGGTATGATTTCTAACCTGTATGCAATACTGAAATTGTTACATTAAATAGTAAAAACAAGGATATGTGATTTAGAAACCAAGTTCTATAACTATCTACTTAATATTCAAAATCAACTTAAACTACTAAGATCAACATCTCACTTATAAATTAAGAAAACTCTTTCATATGGAAAGAAACAATGTGAGGCTAAGGTAATAGGGGGACACATTTTAAAAAGTTTTAAAGCAAAATGTGAATATAAACAATTATACTACACTTAATTTTAATATAGATTCATTACATGCATTAGTCATCTATTTAAATAACAATCAAAATTATCACATATCCTAGGTAAATTCTACAATACTTATACAGAAATCAAAAAGCTTAATAACGTTTTCAATTTTCAGAGATTACATATAGAGAACATTCAATGATTCATGTATGTGTGAATTAACCCCATTTTAGCAAAACACCCACCTTCTCCTTCTCCATGGCCATTCTCTTATTACTATTGTGTCTCAGACTTTCCCCTAAATTTATGGCTTCCTAGGGGTTGTACCTATCTTCTAAATTCCTTTCAATTTTCACTCCAGAACACCATCACAGGACACAATTGCCATGACCGCACTACATGACAATAGATGACCTGCCACTTTCATAAGTTAATAATGATGGTTTTCTAACCAATGGCTAATTAAGTCTGACTGCATCAATCATGAAACTTATCACTGGCCACAGCCCCAAAAGAAATTATACTCTAGTTGGCCGGGCATGCTGGCTCACACCTGTAATCTGAACACTTTGGAAGGCCAAGGCAGAAGGATTGCTTGAGATCAAGATCAGCCTGAGCTGTAAAATAATAAGATCCCATCTCTACTACAAAAAAAAGATGACGGGAGAGGGGAGGGGGGAGGAGGAGAGGAGGGGGAGGGAAGGAAGAAGAGAAGAGAGAGAGAGAGAAGAGAAGAAGAAGAGAAGAGAAGGAGAGAAGAGAGAGAAAGAAGAGAAGAGAAGAGAAGAGAAGAGAAGAGAAGAGATTAGCCAGGTATGGTGTGTGCACCTGCAGTCCCAGCTACTCAGGAGGCTGAGGCAGGAGGATTGCTTCAGCCCAAGAGTTTGAGGCTGCAGTGAGCTATGACCATACACAACTGCCCTCATGTCCAGGCAACAACAACAACAACAACAAAAAAGAGCAAGAGAGAGAGAAAAGAAAGAAATTATACTCTAATCTAAATGGAATGTAAACTAAAATTCTAAAATAAAAAAACCTACAAAATTATACTTACACAACTCAGCTAACCAACACTCATTCACTAGCATTATATGCTTCAGTCTTTTAGAATGTACATCAAAGAGCTGAACGCAACTGGCATCTATTCTTCCTTTCTGTGTATAATGAATACACAAAAAAGTGCTTTTTTTTCTTTAATCCTAAAGCATGAAAAAAAAATCAAGGTACCCAATAATCCATAAACTGGTTAATCATCCCAGGAGTTAATAAGAATTTGCTACTTTTGCTTTAAATCAATATGTGGTCAATTCTATATAATCTCTATCTTGGAAAAATAATTCTGTGATTTTTTCTTTTTTTTTTTTTTAGAGACAGGGTCTCCCTACATTGCTCAGGTTGGTCTTGAACTCCTGTCCTCAAGTAAGCCTCTCTCCTCAGCCTCCCAAAGTGTTGGGATTACAGGTGTGAGGCTCTCCCTGTCCCTCTTTTTTTTGTTGTTTTAATATCACTGTAAGGCTGGTGGCGGTCCCCCTCCCTTCCCTAGATCAAAAAAGAAAAGGCTCATGAGACCAGACCCGCCAAGGACCTACCAAGGACAACTGCTCCACACCCAGATGTCCACCCAGACAAGAACGTTTTGGCTCCTAGATTCCACCAATACCGCCAGCCCCTTTTATTTCTCAATGATCACCAAAGGTCACCCCAGCTCTTGCCACCAAAAGTCCCTAGGCCGGCCCAAACAATATAAAAGGCCTCACCCTCTTCAAACGGAGGCCACTTCTGGGGCCCTCCCTCTCTTGGGGCCCCAGAACCTCTTCTGGGAGCACTAAATAAAGCCACGTGGTTTGGCCCCCACTCTTTCTCTCTCTGTCTTTTCTTTTCACTG